TTCAATCATATTGAGAGAAAGCTTTCAGTTATATTGACTGATAATTGTTTTTTAGTGCAGTAGAAGCTGTTTCTCTATCCGACTTTCTTATGTGTCTCCTGATTGGTCCAAATTCTGCCTGATTAGCAGGAGTATAGTCATCCCTGACAGTGAAGTTTTACCCTTTTCCCAAATCCATAACCCTTTGCTTGATCTCTTGGCACTAGAAAGACATCTTCATTTGACATCTCTTCTGCATTCCTACTTCATTATCACCCACCCTTTTGTCCATTTTCTTTGTATTTTCTCTTGTCACCTGCCTCTTCCAAACCTTGCCAGTTTCCCCAACTCTTCTGTTACTTTTCCTGTTTTCTCACCTGTAGACAGTGGTCTCTCTCTGTCTTCCACGATGGCCTAATTAGTTCCCCATTGTCCACTTGCTCTATTTTATGCTTCCTACCCATTCTTTAACCCCTTGGAGGAGAGGCGGGGAGCAAAGCTATTTTATGGAGCAGGAATATGATGGGATGGGACAAAAGGTAAAATGATAAAAGCAAGCAGAAGGGAATAGAATGAGGGGGAAGAATAAGATTAAATTGAATTGGGGCTAGGTAGGTAAAGGAATAAGGAAGGGAATGGTAAGAAGAGAATTTAGGCATAGGGGTAAAAAAGGTGGCGGGAGACCAGAAAAAGTGACAAAAGAGAAAACCTTGTAGGTGGTTTGAATCATGACTCCTAAGATACAAGCCAAGGTTAAATTAGCTTGAACATATGGACATCCATGTAGGTCATGATTTGTTTCCTATGGATCTGTTTGATATGTGCTTTGTAAATCATCTTAGAAAAAGAAAACTTCCCAAATAATATGGTTGTAAATAATTAAAAATTTAAATGGATTTATAGATTCATTGACTTACATACTCTCTCCTGTGATGTGGATTTGCAATCTGTCCTGACCGCATCTTTTATGAATCTTGTCTATATCGTCTCACAAATTATTGTAGGATTTTTCCCCTGTCCTATGTGATATAGGGGCTCATCTCTTATTGTATGATCACCTTACATCTCTTTGATAATGTCTTTTATATCACTTTTGGGCATATGATTCATTACAAGTTTATTATGTAATTTGATGTATTTTATAATATATGATTAAGTTGAAGCTGTTTATTTTATATTTCTGTAAATATTTTGCTCCCAGCCTAACTTTATAATCTGTCTAATTCTCCACCACTATATGACACAGCAGTACACACTGTAGGAGTCTGCATAAGATTAAAACCTCCCTGTATACCCTTTTCGCATTTTCTGCTTGAACTGGACTTACGTGTATTTTCAAGTAGACGGTTGCTTAGCTATTCATAGGCATTTTATATGACCATTATCAGCTAAATTTATTTTCCTAAATTATTGAAATTAATTTTATAAGATGTTAAAGTGAGTAACATAGTAGCAGCAGCAGTACATACACCAGGAAAATCTTGCCAACCCTTAAGGAGTTCTGATTTCACAATGAGTTTATGTGCTGAAACTCAGTGTACCAGAATAATATTATTATTTAAAACTGTGATATATTAAAGGCTTAAATGAATGTTTTTGTAGCTGTAAAATGTTAAATTTTCACAAATAATCTTATGTAGAATTGGTTATCCTATATAAATCATAGACGTAATGTACTCCTATAATAATGATTTCTTAACACAAAAGTGTTCATTTGAGATCTAAAACTGAAGACATCCTTAAACGTGCTTCAACTTTTATCCACAAATCATCTAAACTGAAGGAAGAAGCAGATGAAATAGAAAGAAAAATTAATTATTTAAATCAGGTACTGGTCTTGATGTAGACATTTAATATCAATTAATATAGAAGTAAATTGGATATAAATTATGATCTATAGTTTTAAATGGTCCATTTTAAGGTTGGGTAAAATTGAGAAATACTTGATACAGGGTTTAAACGATATTATAAGTTAGAATAAATCCCTTCATTGAAATCAGAAGTGATATAAATCATTTTTTAAAATCAAATTTAAAAAACATTGTTGTAATTAAGGTTTTCTTTGAACATTTTATTATTTTTAAGACTTTGCCATGTTTTTCTATATATATGGGCAAAAGCCTTATTTAAATTTTCACATGGGCTAGTTCAAATGGCCTTGTTTTTGCAAATAAATAATAATATACATATTCATTCTATGTAGTCAATAATAATTCAACCTGAGTTTGAGATTTATTTTCTTTCATGTTCTTAAATATATCTTCATGGAGTTTCCTTTCAAAATAGTAACTACTCCCATCTATTGACAGAGAATTGATGGTCTTAGAGTGGGGAATGATATATATATATATGTTTAAATGGCCAATGGGGGAATTTATTTTGCTTGATTATGCATATTTGTTACAAAGATTTTGTTTTCTTTCCTTTCCTCTCTCTAAGATTATAATAACCTAATGACATTAAATTTTTAAAAAATCTCATGTTAATGATTTTGTATCAACAAGTCTGAAACATAAAATAGTATTATATAATTTGATATTGAGGATAACA